GAAAAGGGATGGGTGTAACCGTGTGGGCTCTCGATATGTATTACTACCAGATAGAGATCTTTACGTTTTTGTTATTCACTCTTTTTGGCATATTCATATCCAAAAACTTTTTCTTATCGTTTAAAGAGGTGGACGAGGTCACGGCGCATCTGCTTTTAAGTAGTTTTCAGCGCTCATATACATCAACAATACCACCACCCTTCTAGAGGCAATTTGAGTTGTAAGTCTCAGTTTTTACAGTACAACGGCTGCTCCATCCTTCAAACCGAAACCATACTGCTTCACGGCAGAAATAGGAAGGGCGGTGGTAACTACCCGAGCAGGTCCACAAGTCGCCCTATTCATCCATATTATAGTTTATAGTCAAAATATTTCTATTCAGCCCACAGTCGTCCAATGCTGGACATAGGCCTCTCCCAACCCTGGCCACAAACATCGGTCCTGAGCTGCCTGCCTATATAATTTCACAATAGCGCGTGGACTCCACCCGTTTTGCTACACCCATTTATGCTACAATTACTGTCGGGCTTATTTGTGACTGACGTCTTTGAAACTGTTCTAATTTACGACTGAATGCAATTTCATCCTCTCAAAATTACTACTGCATCACAAAATCTATATTATGTACAAATTGTTTTATATTAAGATTCAGGATCGCACCGCAGTATACTCGATATAACTTGGGAGTGCAAGGTTTTACCTATCCGTCGACGGGCCTTTATGTAATTGGTTAATATATTTAGATTTATGTTCTTATATGACATAAGCCTTGAAACGATTAAGCGTGTTAAACGAACAATTAACGTGGTGATGCGGTGCTTGTATCATTCAACCGTTTCAGTGTGAATTAGAATTAAGTCGTATTATGTTACGTCTAGTATAGTAAGTACATTTAGTAATTAGTAGGAATTAAATATAGAATAAATAATCGCTGATAAAATCACTTACTCGCTGCTATCTGGCCAACAATAGGATTCTCTGTACTTTATATAAGAACGAGACATACTTTATACGTTCGTCTTGGCTGATAATAAAACATACAACATAAAATTAAAATCAAAATAAAATAAAATTGATGTATTTCAAATATTGAAACTTCGCATTTATAGTTACAGTACAGTGGCTAATATATAAGTAATAAAAAGATCAGGAAGAAGATTCTATATTAATTATTTCCTATTTTTAACAAAAACTACATTTCCGCTGAATGCGTAGGTTTGGTTGTTATTATACTACAATTGTTACTAGGTCATGTTTCAAGGTAGACAGTGCCATTCACGTTCGGTAACCTCTACCAGCTCATCTATGATAGAGTATTAGTTATGTATTTTTTAATAGGAGGAATCTGCCATCTTGAATACTTACAAGTTAAGAGGTAAAAGATCTTTCCAGTGTAGCCGTTGTTTAGCCGAAAAAACACGTGTGTTAGTTTGTCTCCCTTGGTGTCGCTTTTTCGTTTTATCTAGTTTCAAATAACGAAGGTGCCGGTCATTAATCAAAATAATCATAGGATCTTTTTATCTTATTTTCTTACATACCTTCTCCATTTGCTACCTTTGAATTTGGGTTGGGATGAGGTTGTTAATCAATCGCAACTAACTGGCTCTTTTCTAAACAATGTCTAAAGTTAAGTAATCCCTTATGATTAAGTAGACTCAGATTCTCAGCAGTATAAGTTAGCCTAAGTAAATCTATAAAAGTTCTCTTGCTACTGTAATCATTGGAAAAGCATGTGAATTATCACATTAACACCATTGCATGTCTTCTGACTAAATTTATCAAACAAACACTTAACTATTAGCAGGCGATGACAAAACTAATACTAAAAGACCATTACTAAACATCTAAACTGGTCAAACAACTATTCTAAGAGGGAAAACCTGGTGAAATTATGCAATAAATACTGGTTGTATTGAGTAACGCCTTGACCTTCAATACCTACACGGGACTTTAACACGTATAACATAGCGCATAACGACTAGACTTGCTCATAATACGGGTCATTATCACTTGGTACTCGTCCAATGCTGTGATAATTGAGCTTAGTGGGCCAAAAACTGTACATATTTAGAATAATGTAACCCTGTTGGTTTTGTTCCAATATTTGACCCAATTCACTTTTTGGACTTGGAATAAAACATGCATTTTTATAGCTCCAATGGATTACCGCCTCCACCCCGATACATAGGGTGATTACATATATAGTATGAAGCCTGAAACGTTTCGAAGCAGAAATAGGCATTACATGCAAGGAAGCTAGGATTATAGTTAGTGAGTAGGCTAGATTTTATTACGAAAAGATTTGAAGAAACCACTTTTGAAGATAATCAATCGCATATAATGAGAATTAATGTCATTCTTTAGTGGGCCTCGATATAATAACACGTAAATTCTATGTATTTATCTAGTTCTTGTGTTAGGATATCTCTTAACATAAAATAAATTAGAAGTAGTTTGTAGATATTTTTTTCAAAAAAGTTGCAAGTGGAATCTGTGCCAACTCGTACTAAAGCCAAATATGTACTGCGCCCGTCAGCTATTCACGTGCCGAGCCAAGTGTTTATTTGAAACGAAAATTACGATCATTTTGCGGGAATAGTGCAGCAATAAGAAAAGGTTTGGAAGCTGCATACGTACCACCTCACTGCCTATTTTTACCGCGAAGTCGTAATGAGCTTGAAGGGTGCGATAGTCGTTATATAATTTAAACTTGTTCTCATATTTCTAGGAGGGTGACGGTACTTACGTTGTTGTCTGTGAGCTCCGGTAAAAACTTAACGTTGGTTGGGCCGAGAGCTCGTTCACCGTCTAAGCCATAAGCCATAATAAATCGGGTTTATAATCTAGTAGGAAATGTTTTGGCGACTTTTTTTCAAACTACACGTGTATATGTAAAAGATTGATGGCCTGTTCTCTTGTGACATGTCCAATGCATAATTGAATACTTAATCGTCTTGTTAGTCTAGTGGTTATTAACCCAGCGTAGGTACTATACTGCGAAGTCTGCATATTTTGTGAAGAGAAAAGTTATATAATATAGGCGAGTAGTGATGGTACCTACTGCTCGCGAAAGTACGTCAATTCATTTATTTATTTATTGGGCTTTAGTTACATAGAAGTAAATATAATATAATAATAACATTAGACTGATCTCTCGCTGCGATGGATGTGCCGAAACTTCAACTAAATAATTTTTTGCATAATTTATTTCGAAAGATCTAATCATCAATTTTACAATATCGTTTTTGGTATTCGTATGTAGGGAATGTGGGAGTATAATTCTAAATTTTGTAAATGGGCAGAAAATGGTAACCATAAAAATAATGACACTTAGCCCAATAGCAAGCAATAACATTAGCAGGTTGTTTTCGAAAATAACAAATTCATTGGTCGGATCAATCCTCGATAACCCGGTCAGAAATTGAAGACCGATTTCAGTGTGGTTCATGGTTGAAACAATGCGTGACAGCATAACATAAAGAAGTTTTCTTCGAAGGATCGTGGCAGTTATTCGAACCGGTCGTTTTGTGTTGTTACTGACTCAATAAAACTGTGAAGCAAATAATTTGGTGTTGCGTTGACGTAAAATTATAGTTGGATGGTTTAATATATTTTTTTTGTTTTGATTTTCTTTGGTTTGGTGTGCTAAGCTGTTGTGGTGATATTCGAGGCGAACCAATGTGTTTGACTGATATCGTATACATGTTATAAAGTAGAACTGTTATTACGAGTGTTCGCGGTTTTGAAAGATCATTTTATCATAAGCAATCCCTCTGCATTCCGATACCCATTATCGCGCAAGAAATGAAAAAGTCTTCTAAAAATGTCAAAAGCAGATATTTTCGTAATTAGCATAGACAAAGGAGTTAGTAAGTTTTGCTCTTCAACAACTGCTTATCAACTGTTTTTATTCATTTCGTAACTGGTATTGGTACTAGGTATTCTTGGTATTCTTTTAGTACTTTTTATACTTTAGTAATTTAGTACTTGGTATTCTTTTCCTTGCCCTACACAATGAAAATGTATTACATCAAATAAATTGAGAGTTGTGTCGATGATTAAGATCGAACTTCGACTAGCACGCGTACACTTGCGATATTTAAATAAACTCACGAGCAGTACGTTTCCTTCGCACCTCGTTTACATTTCTCGGTCTTCGGATTAGTATTGATTATATCGTGTCCTATTTGCCTTGCCCTCGATCGGCAGCCTACTGAACTGTGTGTATCTCATCGAGTACCTACACGACCAAACGATTTGTATTGCTTTATTAGCTTGGAAAACATTTCATCATCGTTAGGGCGGAATGTGGGGACCGGAAAGATTGGTATTGTGATAAAGAATTACCGTTTTATCGGATATTTGATGAAGCATTCGAAGGTTTTGTTGGTTTTAGGAAATTTTTTTTCTATTATACACTCGATCCTATTTGTTTTCGAGTCGAATATACTTTACCGCTCAAATTATCCTTTTTTTTTTTTCGATTAGGCCGCAGCGTCAGTAATAATAGTTGTAACTGGTTTTTTTTACTTTTTTTACGGTAAACGAAACTAAAAAGCTAACATTCATCTGGACAATATCATAACAAAAGACCTCCAAGGTTATGTAAATACTTTCAATATAGGAAAATATGAGTAACTCATTATTTTCTGTTAAATAAAATATTATATTTCAAACTAGCTGACCCGGCAGACTTCGTTGTGCCTCAATCGATAAATAAAAGACCTAAATTTTTGTATAAAAAAACTTAAAACAAACAAAAGGAATCCGTTCGACGGGAGACACATCAAAGGGAAAACAAAATTGTTATTTTTATTTAATTCCGAGCATTTTCATATTTATCTACGTTTTAAACCTTCTCTGGACTTCCACAAATAATTCAAGACCAAAATTAGCCAAATCGGTCCAGCCATTCTCGAGTTTTAGCGAGACTAACGAACAGCAATTAATTTTTATATATATCGATAATTTGGCTAAATTGAATATTTTCTTTGATACAGGTACAATGGAACGCGCTTGTCTGATCACCGGCTCGGTGGAGGGGATCATGGTTGTGTTGGACTTCATTATGGAGAAGATTAAAGAGAAGCCAGAGCTCGTGAAGCCATTCCCGGAGGGAGTCGACACTAAAATGCCCCAGGACAGAGACAAACAGGTAATTGTCATTACATTTTACATGATCTTTGAAATTTGAATGAACTTTGCTCCGTAAAGAACGTTGAACTCCGACTGCGATAGAAACATCAAACAAATTTAAAATCGCATCGAAGTTCTTCGTTTAAATACATTGAAACTTGCAGAAGGTACTGAAGTTTGTTCTTTCTAGTATAAAAAAGATAGAGTCGAAGAATTTTTGAGAGTTCAAGATATGCGATATTCAAACAAAAGTTTTTCTAGAATATTACTCCTACTTTTACTAAAATAATAATTATGTAAATCAGTAAACTTCCCATTGACTAGACTTATTTTGAAATCATGAAGAGTCCCTTTAGAAATGAACTTTACATCCATTTACATCGTTGTTCACTGGAAAGAGAGCTACACAAACAGCTAATGCTCGCTGTAGAATGATTCGAAAAGTGACCTGTTTAATTAATTGAGATCGACTGATGAATTCATACAACACCAACAATAACATTAACGTCCGTGACCATGAAAACGAAGAATTTAACAAACTATTAACCAGACGAAGTACCTTTAATATTTTTAAACATTTAGTGATACTAGAGGTCCCGCAGTAGTCGAAATTCGACTATAATTGGAATTGTAAGTTTGTACACTATTATGATTGTATTTTATACTTCTATAATCACAAATTTTGCCAAGGCTACACTATAACAAAATATTAATAAAGACAAACAACATTTAATCTACTCTCAATTTGACAACAAACGTCAAGAACAAAAGTTTGACAATAAATAGTATGCATGCGTGTGTGTGTCAAATACATGGTATGTAGTGTGTGTAATGTTTTCTTTATTGCTTTAATGTATCTTTTATGCATTATTTAAAAAAAAAAAATTAGCATTGTGCACTTCTTTATATTCTCTATAAGTGTGGAAAATTTTATACTCCTCCCTCTGCGCAATTTTCGTAAAAAGGGATACAAAGTTTTTGCTTCACGTATTAATATATAGATTGACGAACTTCAGAAAAAATGACGACAATATACGTGAGATTAAACTGTCAAATTAATTTCAATTAAGACTAGGATTCGTGCAAAACCGAAAAAGTTTATTTATTATCCTTATGTTTTCCTTAATTAGCTGAAGATGAAAACGCTTTTTTCGTACGTTATTACCACAAAAGCTTTGGTTTTTTTCTTTATGCCCTTATAAGCAGAAGAGCATACCGTCCACGCCTGATGGTGAATGGTTACCGTCGCCCATGGACTTCAGCAATGCCAGGAGCAAAGCCAAGCCGCTCCTTATTGAAATCTACGTCATACTTGGCACTACATCATGCGGATAACAACACGATATTTTGGGCACGAATGTGTTTTGCACGCTATCGGAAAAAACAGGACTGCAGCTGCTATCGTTATCAGTAACATTCGAACCCGACTGCGGATAACGCGTTAAAAATATACCAACATCTGACCACATCGTCACCTCAACAACATGCGCTAATGTGATTGATAACCTGTCCGCCAGTAGGAACAGAGTAGAGATACCCGTGTCATTATTAGCATCTAATTACCATGAAATTATTATTATTGTAAATTTAAAATTGGATTACTTTTGTTTTAATTTTTCTTGACCTCTTGAATAATTTAGTTAATGTGTTCTTCGTTGAAATTTAATAGGTACAGATTTACCATATTATCATTTAAAAAATCATTATTAGAATGAAACTGAGTTATGAAAAAGGCCATAAAAGTAGCCTAATTTTATTGTTTAATTTTAGCGAAAAGTGGTTTTTTATTTATTGCGTAGATGGGTAGACGAGCTCACAGCCCACCTGGTATTATGTGGTTACTGGAGCTCATAGACATCTACAGCGTAAATGCGTCACCCACCCTGAGATATAAGTTCTAAGGTCTCAGTATAGTTACAACGGCTACCCCACCCTTCAAACCGAAGCGCATTATTGCTTCACGACAGAAATAGGTGGGGTGGTGGTACTTACCCATGCGGATTCACAAGAGGTCCTACCACCAGTAAAAAACAGTGCGTAATATTCTACTACAATTACATTAGTTCAATAAGACGGTCCAAGAGGTCAAAAGAAAATTCTGTTTACAGAAGTGTGGTTGTGGTTGATACCATAGTTGCGTGTCTCAGCATAGGTAGGAAAAAAAAAGGTTGGGAAATTCAATCTTGGCTAGTTCACTCATTTCGAATGTTACCGGGCTAATATCATACAGGAAATTTTTAGCTGTTGTTCGTAGAAAGTACTAGAAAGATTGATGCGCGATCGTGTGGACACGTGCAAATACACATGAATTATACATGAAATGGCTTTGATGTGTTGACGAAAAAACTTACCATCGTTTTAGATTGTGGTAGAGTTAGATACTCCCAAACGCGTGTATTCACTTTGCAATATCAATGGACAGAGTCAGCACTTACTATACATAGCAGAATCGAAAAAGTCCACTCGAAGCCCGGTTAATATTCAAAATTCATTTCTAATAAAATTTTACACCGTTCGAAAATTAGTTTGCTTAATGGGCAAATAGAATGGAGTCCTCCGTCCGAGGGTCGTAGGGTGTCGATTCGTATGCTAATGGCGTGCCGTTAGCCGGTCTCGCGAAGTCGGCGGCGGCGGGGGTAAAGACCCCGCACGAACCGCTTTTAATTAACTTGGACAAAGTTTGCGATGAAAATAATCGTGAACGAGTGTTTGCACGCAACTCTTGCAAAGTTTGAAATATTACTACAGCTTTTAAGTAAGGGGTTTGTTTGGTGGATACGCTAGAAATGATTCGGCCAGTCATTTTATCGTTGATGTATAAATAATCCTTAATACCAAAATATGTATTTTTGTTGAGTAAAATTCTGTTTTAATTTAATTGTTATTTAATAATCTCATTCATACAATTTAAGAACTTTATATTATTAGGCCGCTATCCTTTATCCTTTGATTTTATTGATATCTTTTGACTGCCTGAAAGTGATCGTTAACAGTGACTGCTAACCATCGTGCTTGGATAGATTTATAGAATTTATTAAACGTAACTTTTTAGACATAAACAATCTGTTTAAATTTTGCAGCAGTAATGGAGGGAAAATGCAATGACACAGATTATACCCATAAAATAGATTAACCAACTCAATAAAATCAATCCACTAAAACGCTTTCTTTCTTCGAGTAACGTGACGTATATGATGTAACAGCTTAGTAAATAAACTAGTCAAAACAAAATAGAGCCCACCAAGTTTTTGTCCCGTAATTTATATGCATAGTAGTTTAATAGGTTTTTACAATTAGTCAACGTTAAATTAGGGCTTTACTCATTATGTGAACGCGAAATAACATTTAAATTGCTTAATTTGATCACATTATACACCAATACCCATTTTAACAAAAATGAGCACTAAGTAGACTTGCTTTTTATTACCACTGTTTTTAATAATTTACCGGGAATTTTCTTTTAGTATTGAGTAGGACCTTCTCGGCTTCGTGCGCACTCTGTGAGCCCACTCATGATTAAATGTTTGGATCCCCACAAAGTCGCCAGTACTGTGACGTCATCATGAGAGCGAAATTTTTTTGGTCAAAGGACACTCGATGGTTTTGTTTGATTGAAAAAATGCAATTACTTTTTATATTTTTGTTACTGTGTTAACGGGGACCTTTGCATGCATGTCAAATGTGGAAATCGCGTTACAAACAATTGCTGATTGAAATCTTGCAAAAATGTCAAAGCGCAAAGGGTATTATTGTAATCGATGTTACATCACTATTAGTTGAGTTGAATTAGTCGAGTTATACCGGGCCCGCTACAAGTTAAACGAAACAAACCTCCCTTCGAACCGCAGACTTTGTACACGAGCTTTGAAGCTCACGCGTTAAGGTAATGTTTGAGCTTTGAAAGTGCTTCGTAAGCGGTAAACAGCGTTAGGCCTTACGCAAGCTAATGGTCGTAGTTACAAATAAACACCTCCTCTTTTATGTTCTTTTTATATTTGTGTTTTACATGTTTTACAAGAATTTGCTAATTAATCGCCTCAATCTGCTATAAAAAGCCTCTGTAACTGATTTTTTATTTATTTTTACGGAAACGAACTCATTGCCTGTCTGGGGTTTATCAGTTATCCCAGCCAAAGGATATCAAAACGTGACGTCGTGTAAAATTGGAAAACGCGGGATAAGATGTCCTGCTTTTGTCCCGCGGTGCACATACCATTTTTTCTCCTACCAGGCCGAAAGTTCGTGGAGTACCGAGCCGGGGTCCAGGGATGAAGCCCTGGCCCGGGGAAGGGAGGGGGCGGAGCCCGCCCACCTTTAACTGTTTTTTAATTTTTAAATAAACTACCTACTGCTAATTGAATAAGAACTGTCTGATGAACTCATCTTTGTTTAATAAAGAATATATTCATTAAATCTTATATTAAATTTTATTGCCTTTTGTTTATTTCATTTTTACACTAAACACAATATTGCAATTTACCCGAGCACAACAATGGCGGAGAATTTTAGGTTCGTGAGAGCAGACGTAGACGTAGGCACATGCGCACTTGTCAGTACTCAGGGAGGAAAAGGTACGCTCTCTTCCCTGTACGAACTTTCGGCGTAGGTAGGAGAAAAAGGCCAATTTTACAAAAGCCAATTAACAAACAGAAAATTTTCGACATACGTCGGTCTCAATTCCAGTTTCGGTACTTTGATGCAACATTTCCCTAAAATTATCGGTAACGGGGTCCAGGTTTTTTCTAGATTTCCTGTATTCGGCGATAGACTGTAACTCTAGGAACGCGCTAAACACGCGAATATGTTATCGTTGTAGCTTGACGTAATCTGGCGAAAAAACGCCCGTTTATGCAATAGCGCATAGCTCGTTAGAACAATTAAAATAGCAGAAACATGCTCACATTGTTATTCCATTAAAGTTCATTACTAAATTATGGAGTCAGCTTAATGCTTGCCAACATATTTAATGCTATATTATTAAACAGTTACGCAGGATGAAGGAACAGAAATATAATTCCCGCAAACTGTTTGTTTTTTAGTTAGTAGAGTGTCGTAATTACCGGTAGTGTGGTGAATTCGTCATCTCGCATTAAAACTGTATAATCTCAAAACTTACTAATTTTACAGGAAAGCATTTTAAAGGTTTAACATGTGATATTTTTAATATTAATTACCTTTGCTATTCTATTTTTTATTTTTTAACAGTTAAATTATCTGTCTTTTAAAGTAAGATAAAATTATGTATTAATTTTGTTAATAGTAGTCAAAACATAGGTAAACTAAAACTAAACTACGCTCTTTTGATAGTATTTATGAGAAAAATACTGGTGATAACAAATGATTATTATTAACTCAATTTCTAATATTTTTGGAAATTGTACCTACACTTTTAATGCGAAAAGACAGACGAATTGTGAATCTTTACGGGCAACTAACACAATGCGGTCGGTCTGTTTCTGCCGTGTAGCGGTCTGCGTTTCAGTTTGGAGAATAGGAGAGACTCAACTTTGAAAGAAGTTATGTGGTGTGTAGTGGTATCTTGTTCTCGTCGAACCCGTCGCTTGCGACAAAGGGCTCGATGAGTAAATTAACTCACAGACACAGCCCACTGAGTTTCCGATCCAGTGGTACATTCTGCGAAGCATTTCTCTGGCTAGGGTTAATGTTAGCAGCGTCGTGTCAGGTTTGAGCCCCGTGAGCTCACCTACTTGTTAAGGTTACGCTGAAATGGTCTCTCAAGACCATCAGCTTAAGTAGGAAAAAAAAAGTGGTATCGTCACTTAACGTCAGGTGGGACGTGAGCTCTTCTACTCATTTATAGCCATGATGATCTACAAACTCTCGAAAATCTTCTAAAATACCGCAATAAGCACTTTTGAATTTTGTTGACAACAAATGTATTATTACTAATGATATAACCTGTTGAGACAAAACTGAGTCATTATCGTGAGGTCACCTTGATCGTTCTGCGGAACTGACTGCATTCTAAGACTGGTTTTAAATTATACCTATACTTACAATAATTACTGTACTTGTATAGTGTTTGTTTATGGAATCAGTGTATTTGTGTATATAAATGTATCTTTTGATACTGATTTTAGTGGACTTGATGAGCTCGTTAAGACGCTCCCGGATCCTATAGACATCAAGGGCATGTAGATAATGGAACTACATAAAAACAAGAGTCTTCATTTCATCTCACGGCTGCTTTAACGCCAGCGATAGTAGAATTGTCTAATACATATAATCCTTGGGTCAGTATGTATAAGTGTTTTAAAAGGAAAATAATTTATTAAAATACCATATACTTAAATTCTATAATATGTTATTGACAGTAATACTAGTGGCAGGACGTCTTTTGAGTCCGCACGGGTGGGTACCACCATACTGCCTATTGCTGCCGTGAAGCAGTAATGCGTTTCGATTTGAAAGGTTGGGCAGCCGCTGTAACTATACTGAGACCTTAGAACTCATATCTGAAGGTGGGTGGCGGAATTTTCGTAGATAGATCTCTATGGGCTCCGGTAACCACTTAACACCAGGTGGACCGTCAGCTCGTCCACCCATCTAAGCAATAAAAAAATATAATAAGACAAAAATTCATAAAATAAATTGAGCATTAGATGTTTTTGTTTTTTATTAGGGGAAAACATAATGTTTCTGATATCATAGATGAAACCAACGTAGCAAATGTATTCATTAAACCAGAGGAATAAAATTCAAAATACAGCGGATGGTATCACTAAAAATTTCTGATTCTTAGATCAATCATATTTTCTGTGTATTCTGCTTCTTTTCAAGTGCCTTTTACTATTCAAGGTTGATAAACATTTGTCCCGTTCGCTCATCTCGTGAATTAAAGTTGGTTCGTTCTGTTTTATTTAAAACGATCGGCTTCTTGCCTATCGTAACCTCTGCTTGTCTATGATACAAGAATAGTCATCATCTCATTAGTCATCACGAATGTTACTTACTAGTTATAAATAAATAAGCGTTTCTTATTATTTTATATTAACAATTATCCGCATAGTCACAGTTAATGACGTTATGTGTTGATAGCCCATGTGTTGGTGATGAGACTGATGTCGGTGACGGATGGGGTTGCACGACGTCCAGTATTTCCCGTCCCGTATTTTAGGCTTAGTTTTAAATAACCCGGCGGGACTGACTCTGTCCCGTATTCGAACCGTACGAATATAGTTGTATTGATTTTTATAAATACATAAACTGACTTGCTCCTTGGAAAAATATCAAATAAAATAAAGAAAGTCACTATATAATTTTGTTTTTTATTTGTCCCGGGTAAAAAACTAAAATCCCGTATTTTTTTTTGCCTATTTAAGGGGGCATTTGTCCCTTATACGCTGAAAAAAAATCTAGCAACCCGAGTGACGGAGTACTTGGTGTAACGAGGTATTTGATGCGCCGGTTTTAATGTTGTCTTGACAACAGACGACAGATTTCTGTAGCTTGTTTGGCAATCGTTGCTTTGGGCACAAGCGTTAGCCATAGGTCGAGTTAGATTAGTAAAATTTTTTTTTCGTCTGAACAATATTTTTTTTATTAAATCATATTGCAAGGTAGTTTAATAACCTAAAAGTACATAAAGTAAAAAATTGTTGGACTTTCTCAGAGACATTGTGTTCTCAGCTTAGTTCTATAATGCTAGAAGTTGCTGATCCAGGACTAGGCACGTGCCACTGCGCTTAAAGTTTTTTCAACCAATTTCTCGGTAACTGAACGAAAGTTGAAGTATGTTCGTGTGTGCTAGCACTCGGCAGTCTATTAGCAATTTGTTTACATTGGTAATGGACTGAACTACTGGGAATAAGCCTCTCGCTTCGTCTGCGAACATAAAAAAATATTGAAACATTTTTCCAACATAAAGATCTTAAACAGTAAATTTGTTTTCAGGTGAAGATCTTGGTGCCAAACTCGACAGCTGGCATGATAATCGGCAAAGGCGGTAACTACATCAAGCAGATCAAGGAACAGAGCGGCAGCTACGTTCAGATCTCGCAGAAGGCCAAGGAATTGTCCTTGCAGGAGAGGTGCATTACTGTTGTGGGTTAGTATTGTTTAGTAAGATCTGGTATATGTAGTGAAATGGGGAGAGCAACCAAACCGCTGTAGCTATAGGAAAACTGACTCATTTTTTCCGGTAGCCGGTCAACGCCCAATAAGTGGCAAATCTAATGCCTCTACGTTCTTAACATCTAGGAGCTTTAAGGTATATGGAAATAATTGCTCATCATCACAGTAGTGGTAACTCATCTTTCCTACTTAGCCTCTGCTTTTATTTCTATTTTCAACTCTATTAATAGGGTTTGTGTAAAGGTACATTGCTTAGTACATAGGTACATAGGTACATCTAACCCTGCCACGAAGCAATTGTGCGTTTCGGTCCAAAGGGCGGAATATAAGATTCTGTAAATACTGTAAAAACTGTGACTTGGACTCATGTATCAAGGTGGGTGGCGGCATTTACGTTATCGATTTCTATGGTCTCCGGTAACCACTTAACACCAGGCGGGCCGTGAGATGATAGTTCACCCATCGAACCGATATAAAAAAAATTAAAAATGTATGTTAATACAATAAAAAATTCAAGCATCCAGTTTCAGCAAATGTCTATCTTTGGGCGCACATTGAACCTAATATTAAAACAGACTTAGCTTCTGTTTAATTATTTACACTGAAATGCAATTTTTTTTTGCGTGTACTGCGAGTTATTTCGAACCGTTTTAAATATAAAATCAATAAAACGATCATTAGTAGTAACGAGACGTGTGGGCGTTCCGATAACGCGACCTCGTGTTGGAGGCGAGGGGCGTTTTGTAATCCGGAACACTTTGGTTATTTGATTGCTAAACCTTATGATGTTCCGCCGCGGGGAGGGGATCACCCCCCTTTTTTTACCCGCCAGTCGATTCTGATATGGAGGACCGATCTATTACCTGTCTATTTATGAAGGCTTTTGATTTCGCCCTTTTGTAATGTGTACTATTATTATTTGTGTAATTATTGATGGTAGAGTCCATTGTAAGCCCGGTACTGTAAGGTACCTCTTTCTACCCCGAAATAGCTATGCATACCGGTTGTGAAGGTTGGGACAACCGTTATACTGTACAATTGAGACATGACCTCATATTTCAAAGTGGGTGGAGGCACTTACCTTGTTACATTTATGGGTTTCGGTAACCAATAGACCAGTCGTGAACTCGTTCACTAGTGTATATAAAAACAGGAATGAGCTCCCGTAATCCCGGTCCAGTTTTCTGAAAGTTACTTACACAGGTAGAGGATAAGTTTCATACCACTGTATTTTCTATTTATAGTAAATCATTCGTGGAGTATTAAAAAACTAAGACCCCCTAACGACAAATCAGATCAGACCTCCACAGGAAACAATTCTTAGTCAAATATTACTGGTGGTAGGACCTCTTGTGAGTCGAGGGTACGTACCACCACCCTGCCGGTTTCTGCCGTGAAGCAGAATGCGTTTCGGTTAGAAGGGTGGGGCAGCCGTTGTAACTATACTGAGACCTTAGAACTCATATTTCAAGGTGGGTGGCGGCATTTACGCTGTAGACGTCTATGGGCTCCGGTAACCACTTAACACCAGGTGGGCTGTGAGCTCGCCCACCCATCTATGCAATAGAAAAAATTGTTAATTTCAGGCGAGAAGGAAAGCAACAAGAAGGCCTGCCTCATGATCCTTCAGAAGGTGGTTGATGACCCTCAGTCCGGGTCGTGCCCCAACGTATCATACGCGGACGTGGCCGGACCGGTCGCCAACTACAATCCGACGGGATCGCCCTACGCTGTACCCACCGCCGAGGTGAAAGAGGTGACACACGCACATACATACCGCAGGGGTGGGGGTATATATGGAAATTGGGGAGGGTGTTGTTGGCTTGGTAAGGGTCTTGGGGTTGATGATGTTCCAAATCTTGATGGGCGTCTTTTGTTCGTGGGAATGGGCTTATTTTAATTTTAGGGAATTACAATTATATCATAAAGTTGTATCCACTTAATATTTTATCGCTATTTAATATGTTAGCATGAAACATGCAACCGAAGATAAGGGGTGTTAATACAACTGTTAGTAAGAAAAAATAATAAAATACATTATAAACCACGAAATAAAATTAAAAAAATTGTAAGCTAAGTTTAATGTGGCTAATCTTTCTTTATTTTACTGTCAAATGACATCACTCGTATTGAAATTGCTATAGTGTAGTGCTCGGGTTCAGTCAAAATTGTACGGCATTTTCACAATTTAAGGGTGGTCCGGTTCCCCTGTCATATTTATTGACATCTAAGTGAGGCCCGCAGAGGATATAACATATCGAGAGGTGAAAGGCTATTTGGTATAAGCGACATCTCGCTTAATACGGGACATTTATCTTTGTAATTAAAGGCGTATTATAATTGAATATGCAATTTCGAAAAGGGCACATGTTGCATATTTTGTTAAATACGTTTTTTCATATTTATGGTAGTTTTGAGGCTTACCTACCTACGCCCATTTTATAATAATTTCAGTAATTTTCAATTGCTAATTAACACTAAAATATATCTCAAAAGTTAATATTTTAAATTTTACACTGCTTTAGAAAATAATCAGTTTTTTTTTTCATTTCCTGAACATTTTACATTTTCAGAGATGTGCCCTGTTCGAAATTGCATATTCAATTTATATTTGATACTAGCATCAACAGTTCGATGTTTTTAATTAAACCTTAATTAAGTTTACCCCATTCAAATAGTTGAAGAAGTTGTTACGATATTTTTTCCAAATTTTAAACTTTGAATAGCTCTCTTGCTTAGCCTAAACCAAAGAGCCTTACACCCGTCGATATGGAGATAATAGAAATTATCAAAACGCAATAAAAAATTTAGTCAAAATTATTGTCGAGGGGTCCTTAACAAGCCAACAAAACGCCATTCATCTTGAACTTAATTGGTGTGGTATAATTGGATATACATTGATATAAAATTGTCGTTCACTTCGATGTGCACTACTGCATATAACCGTCCGCAGACTTCGGACAAGTGGCAAGTACTAAGACATTTTGTGTCTTTGAAGATTAATATTTGTGTAGTCAAATATTTAGAGTATTCAGTGCTATTATTTGTGTATTGAAACGGTAAACAACCGTTTTATAATAGGTAGGCAGCGGCTTGGCTCTGCCCCCGGCATTGCCGAAGTCCATGGGCGACGGTAACCACTCACCATCAGGTGGGCCATGCGCTCGTCTGCCTACAAGGGCAATAAAAAAAAGAGTTTCAAAATAATATACCAAACTAAAGGAATGTAGTACTGTTTCAAACGTAAATAGATAACAGTGGTTTGCTTGTATGTAGTACTGTGTACAGCCATTGCCAAAGCAGGCGATAAGTCATCGTTACGAACGACATTTTATATGAAGCACACACACACAGACACACACACAAATACAAATACAACGCACACACATGCTTACACGTTGTTTTGTAATGTTTATTGAAATTTCGTGATCGTGCACAATCGAGCGTCATTTCTACATTTGCCTCCATTAGTAAAAGTTTTATGTTTATACTTTTCATTTACGAAATATCGCTCGGTCGAACCGTTCACGATAACGAAATGATAGAGAGGTAATGCTTTAAAAATTGCACAGCGCGCCATGTAATACGAAGAAATTAGCTGACGCGCAGGGTCATTGCTCCCGCAGTCTCGGTTTTGTTCGCTGTTGATTGCGGGTGCTTTGTCTCGTAATGTAACACGTACTTAAGTTTCGTTATTCAAATCTCTTCGGTTTACGGCTTATATCAAAGTTGTTTATTAGTGCCATTTTGTTTTCACTGCCGTTTCCCTTAAGTCCTTACAGTCCTGTGTCTTAATAATCATTATAATTTGCGTACTAAGAAAATCTAACAGTGGTTAGTGATATGAAGTCATTATCGTGGGTAGGGCAAGACTTTGCCCATTTCTGCTGCGAAACATTAATTACGTATATCAATATGCCTGATCTTCTATTGGCATTTTGATTTTTAAAACCGAATCATTGCTTGAGTGTCAAGTTATATGGAGGAATGATGGGGATCTTGTTGAGTAAGTGGTGGAGGCTGGCGTCTCGTCAGCGTGTTGTTAGATAGATTTTCTGTTTCTCGAGATCGTGTGGGTTGTTGTCAAAAATATTTATTCTTCTTTCTGGTATTAAAGTGATTATCTGAGCCCATAGACAATATAAAGTGAATGCCGCCACACGCCTTGAGACATGAAGTCGAAACCTCAAATTTATAATATTAGGCCAGTCTCATCTTTCAAACCGTAACGTATGAGGGGTTCACGGGGGAAATGTTCAAGGTGGTGATACATTCAATACGCTGTACCACGCGTGGCAAGCCGGTAGTACGAGAGTGGGTCAGTCGAACTGTTACTATATGCTGCATATAACACAATATGTATAGCAATTAATATTTTAATAATAGTTGTGGTATTTAGAGCTTACTGACAAGTCGTCTTTTCGTATTAAAAGTGTACAATTTCTAAAAATATTCGAAATTGAGTTAGTATGCGGAATCATTTGGTATCACCAGTATTTTTCTCATAAATACTCTCAAAAGAGCGTAGCTTAGTTTTAGTTTTTTTTTTTAGTTTACCTATGTTTTGACTACTATTAACAAAATTAATACATAATTTTATCTTACTTTAAAAGACAGATAATGTAACTGGTAAAAAATAAAAAATAAATGTTGCAAAGATGACTAATATTAAAAATATCACATGTTAAACCTTTAAAAGAGTCTCCTGTAAAATTAGTAAGTTTTGAGATTATACAGTTTTAATGCGAGAAGACGAATTCACTAATAAATAAATTTTGTTCTATCACTTGTCCATTCCCACGTATTCTATTGAAGGACTTGAGACCGGAGGGTGACGGGAAGAGAATAATGCTCTTCACGAGAGTGGAGGAATACGAGTGTTGTTTGATTCCAGAGTCACGGGCTCGGCGGTGCGGTGGGCGGAGTGGGCGGGGTGCTGATGAACGGCGGCGGCGCGCTGGGCGGGCTGGGCGCGCTCGCCCTGCAGCTGTACCTGGCGCCGCCCGGCACCCCGCCCTCCGCGCCCATCACGCAGCACACCCTCGACCACATCAAGGTGCGACCCTCCACCGAACTACATCGCGATGTAGCACTAACAGAGCAACTTGAGTCCGCACAGATAGGTGCCACCATCCTGCCTATCTCTGCCGTGAAGTAGTAATGCGTTTCGGTTCGAATGGTGGGGCAGCCGTTGTACTAAAAAACGGAGACCTTAGAACTCATGTCTCAATGTGGGTGGCGGCATCAACGTTGTAGATGTTTGTGGGCTCCGATAACCACTTAAACACTATCTAAGTAACAACAACAAAAAAACGGTACGCGTGCAACTTGGTGCACGTGAATGAAGTGAAACTTCTTTTTCGATGTGTAGTATTGTGGTTTCCTTCATTTATCATTCTTAAATCAGATTGTTCTTGTAATAGGAAATGCTGTGTATAAGAGATGCGACATCTTCAACATTTATATTATATATATTTTAAATTATATACAGAAAAATAAATATATATATATTTTTAAATACTTAATTAAAATATTGTCCGCCATTCGTTGCTAATGCTCGCGCTGGCTTGTAACATGTATACCTACTACGCGCGAGCGTCCGAGTGCCGCGCATTCAATCTCGCTCTGTCTCTTTCTATTCCCCCTCCCCCAGGAGCGTTGAACGTTTAACGCAACTCTGCTGAAAGTCACATTAGAGTAGCAGCTGGTAGTTATTGAGTTGTGTGTGTCGCGAGCAGGGCGCGCTGCGGCAGGCCGGCTACAGCGAGGCTGGGGTGAGCGAGATCGGCGCGGCGCTGGGGCTGCTGGTGAAGCACGGCGTGCTGGGGCTGGGCGTGGGGGGCCCGATGCCCGCGCCGCCTGCGCTCTCCGCCGCATACTTCCCGCTGCCCGCGCAAGACCCGCCCGCCGTCTTCGGACCCCTCGCGCAGGTCTCGCTAGGTCAGTGACCCCGCCGCACCACGCACACACACCCTCACACTACACAAACAAATAAGAGCATTCCTTGTTGGGATTCTCGAGAAAAAAACTTAGTTTGACTCGCAGCATCGCATGCGCGATCGCGTAGTAGTAACAATGGTCTCAGACAATAAAATTATATTCAATATTGTTGTCATTAAAGGCATAAGGTCGGATCTACTTTTCACGAATAGAAACATCAGTACCCTTCAGAAGTATCCCAGCTCGTTTTGTGGCAAACAAAATCGTATAGTTCTTTGTATTTGTCTCATTTAAGTATATACTACCTTGTGCCTGGAACGTCGAGAAATGTTTCAATAAATAAGTATTCAAATGACACAACAATTTTAACACAAAATTAATTTGATAACTTTTTTTTTATTTATCTTCTTCATTCTCTGTTTGTACCAAATTTATTATTTCTTATTTATCGAAACCATTAAAATCTTTATATAAATTTAAAAAGCTTAAATTTATTTGCAATCAATAATATTAGTAAAACACAAGAACACATAAAATCATTTTAAAATGTCTCTGTTGTAATAAAATTACTTGGAATTTTCGTTGCACAAACTAAAATACGCATCTGTTTTGTTGAGACATTTTGAAGTGAAACTCTCGCTTGAGACACGAGTCCGGCTATACCAATTGGCGCCGTGACGTCACTAGGGCTGCCACTAATCGAATTGGATATTGATCCACCCCGTCCACGCGACGACCGCAACACCTTCATGCCTGCTCTCGCCGTATTACCCTTGGCTTACTCTGGAACCTCACGCCTCGATTTTAGAATATTGAGTCATAAATTAATTAGAAATAGGTTCTATGTTTGTTTGATTCTAGTACACTAGGGTTGTGCACTAGTGCATTATGATAGTATCGTGGAACGCAGCCGATGAAGTTTTTGCTTATCAAAATTCTAAATTTTCCTTCCATCCGCTTCTCACATTGATCTCGTCTTAATTACACAGTAAAAATAGTTTTATTGATGTTAATTCATGAAAATTGATGTATTATTTCTGTGTATGTTTGTGAAAAAAAGTAAATATAAATATACTTCAAATTAATATGCTTCTATTTTTAAAAAATCTTAAAAATCTTTTATATCAATCAATTTCAAATATCGTAAGAGAATTCTAATATAATAATGTATTTGCAAAAATGGATTCTCTATACTACTTACTTGTCTATAGTCGTTAAATAAAGAGCGTCGATTGTTTGTGACTTGTCTTCTATCTTCTGAAGAAATTTATCTCCGAATCGAATTTCGTTACCTATTTAAAGAACTTTAATGTTTGAAAAAAAAAAATACGTCGCCACAAACACCAGAAATGATACACAATTCAAGAAAATATTTTAACGGAACAATTTCTAAATTACGCATGCTCCTTTCTTATGTAATGGTTAATTGTGTCTTTCCGATAACGTATTGCTGATTTGTTTAACAATAATTGGCTTTAAAACAACTGAGTACAGTACATACGACATTACAGTCAATTGTGTTTATTTTTTCTAAATTCTTACGCATCGCTTTGATCACGTTCATTGTGTCGGCAATACATTACCCTGCGTGATGTGGACTTTGCAGCCCACCGAGTTTCTCGCCGGATATTCTCGGTGGGTCGCGATTCCGATCCGGTAGAAAATTCTACAAAGCACTGCTCTTGCTATAGCACCAGTGTTAGCAAATTCTCTCAGGTTGTGCCCGTGAGCTCACCTCTCACTCGTTCGCGCGAAGCTAGAATAGCCCCTTAGACTACCAGCCAATAGGCAAGGGAAAAAAGTGGACTTTACTCACGATTCAGATTGTATTTGGAAACGAGATATCGTGAAAACTATCGATGTCGATAAATAATAATGTGTATTCCCACACTATTTGACATCGTGTCGCGCATTAAAAACTTTGAAATTCACATTGTGTAAACCTAACTATAGTGTAGTTAATAATCAATTTTCCTACTTTTCAATACGCGATATAGGTAGTTTAGGCTTCTGTCCGGGTTTGTATTTTCAGTTTCAAAGTCCACAGCACAACGTCTCTGTCTAATAAATAGTAAGGAACGACATGTTTTTTAAAGTCCAGTTTCGCTTTTTCAATTTGCACACGACAATCTGACGCGATGCCGTGACGAACAGTAAGCGTCGACTAATCGACGATTGATAAACAAACCGCGAATGGTTGAAGTCGTCAGTCGGCCGCTGTCGTGTGCGAATTGAAACCGTTCAAAGTTTAGATTGCGTCAGGTCTTTTAGCGAAATGAAAACTGGTCGTTCCTCCTTCATCTCATCTTTTCTATCCGCATCACAGCGCTGCCGCATCCGAGAACGCTCATGTAGGCCAGCCGCTGCCTCCGCACCGCGGTAGATAAAATCGATACGAATTCAACGCATGTAGCTTACACACTTAGTGATCAATTCAACTAGTGAATTAATTACCTATCGATAGACTTAGTTTAACTATTATAATAATAATATGGAGGGGGTTTTGTTACTTTAACTATGAAGTTATCGGATGATCGCGCTACCGGACTCCAGTTGTGTCGACCGCGGCCAGTGTGCGATATAGACTCCGGCGGTAGGGGTAGGGAGCGGGTAGAGGGGAGTGCGCCAGTGCTGTGTAGGGCGGGGCAGGGCGGGGTAGGGCGGCATAGGGCGGCGCGGTGCGAGTGATGAGTCCCCCCGCAGGCGGCGCGCGCGGCGGCTCGCTCGACCGTTTCGCGGAGGTTGCATTCGAGGCGCTTCGCCCCCCAGCCGTGGCGCCCATCTCGCTGCAAGGCGGCGTGCCGTTCCCGTCGGCCTCGCTGCTGCCGCTGTCCAAGAGCCCCACGCCGGCCGACGCGCAGCCCAAGGACTCTAAGAACGTCGAGATAGCGGAGGTCATCGTCGGCGCCATCCTCGGTCAGTACTACACATCTCGATCCGCGTCATACTGCAATCAATTCTGTTATCCCTAAGTTTTATGTTTATAAGTTCATCTTAGAGTTAGTACAGTGAGGTAAAGTACAGAACTAATCGTACCACCGAGCCCCCCGTGTACCATTATGTCGATCGACAAACCGCTCACGTGCATCTCGCCTCATACCCATCTTCAACTAACTGCGTCCCAGGGCCGGGAGGGCGCAGCCTGGTGGAGATACAGCAGATGTCCGGGGCCAACATCCAGATCTCGAAGAAGGGCACGTTCGCTCCCGGCACCCGGAACCGCATCGTCACCATCTCCGGCTCGCAGACGGCCATCAGCAACGCTCACTACCTCATCGAGCAGAAGATCCAGGAGGAGGAGCTGAAGCGGACCAGGCACAACGCCATCTCGACCCTCATGCAGTAACTACGCTCCCTCGCCCTCGCCCCTCGGCACCGCGCCACGCGCAAGTAGCGCCGCGGGGGGGGGCGCCGCGGGGGGGGCGCCCGCTTGCCGGCTGCTCACTCTCTAATGAATATTTACATCCACTTACACCTCAACAACATGACGCATCTAGTTCGTAAATCGCAACGCTAAGTAAAAATAGTTAAAAACGTTTTGTGTAAACTTGAAACTTGAACTCTGGGATTGCGACGCAATGATGTTCCCAGTGTGCGTTACTGTCGTACTCCATATCGACGGAAGAAAGCGAAAATGTCGTATCTTGAAAAACCCAACTGTATATATACCAAAGCCATAAATCGATGTATTTAAATGAATATAATCAGATACCACTATATACAGACAGGCTTTAGATATAACACCATACTAATTTTCAACTTTCTATCTCTATAGGTATAATATGAGTTATGAATTTTTGGAAAGTATAAATGGCTCTGGTATAAAGTTGGCTTTTTCAGTTACAACAATTTCGCTTTCTTCAGTCGTTATATAGTTCGCGTCACTCGAATATTCATTTCAAAGTGAGTATTGCACACGTCAGCCGCCTTAGCGTAGTTCTAGTCAATGCAGTCTGGTACCAGACTAGCCGCAGGGCGTCTCAAGCCTAAATAGTAAATAAAATGATTTATTTAAAGTAAACAATAATATGGCGCGTGTTACCTGAACATTTATGATGTGTTACTTTAAAAATAACGAAACGATTAGTTCCGCAGTTCTCGTTATGGGTCGCACGCTGTTTTGCTTAGTAAAAAATAGCACGCGATTTTCGTTAACGTTATTTAAAATGCAATAAAAATATGTAATTTCTCTTATTAGGATTTTGATTCAAAGGGGACATTTGATTTTAGAAATGACAATATATAACTCGATGACGTTGTCGATGACGCGTGCTATTCAATCGTTTAGCAGTTAATCGACGAAAGTGAACGTTAAAAGCTGGAACTGAATTAGACTGACAGCTTCCGTCGCGCCTAGACAACTCCGTCTAGCAGCGACGAAGGCGGTGGGCCACGCCTGGAGTCCAGCGCGTGTGGTCTGGTTCCGGCCGGTCGGGGACAGTGCAATCTGCATCACAGCCGGCGACCCATAGCGACACATAGTTCTCTATTTACAATAATAAAATGATAATATAAATAATTTTATGTATATTCATTTAAAAACGTGTTTAAAACTTTATAAAAGGGAGGAATAGCGTCGATAATAATGGTTTAACTCGGTCGACGGTCGCTGTCCGCTTAGCGGGCTCGTTGTTACGCGGCCGCGGTGTGCGCGCTACGTTTTGTTGTGCGACATTCTGGCGAGCGATTAGCGTTTCATCTCTATCGTTTTGTTAAAAATAGCTCGTTGACTTTAGCGTAGAGAGCGGCGCTACACTAGAGCTCACCTCGGCGGTCTCTACGAGCGCCGTGACGTCAGCTCTGTGCTCTTAGTGCGAGTTTTTTTAACGCTCTCAGCGCCCCTAGCGGCAAACGTATCAACTCCATGCAAAGTTGAGTTAACTTTTACGCTATCGAGAACGTTAAAAAACTCGCACTAAGCATCCTGGTTGTTTTAGCCGTCGGATGTTGTTGTTGTCGACGAGACGTTCACTGTACAACTGTTAGAGTTACCGTGTCCTACCTCATTAGTCGGATGTAAGTGTTTGTTGCTTGTTCTCGTTATAACGAATGTCGCACAAAAAAATGTAACGTTACAATAAAAAAAAACGATCGCGGTCGTCTGTTATGTTTTAAGTTTCTACATTATTATTATTATTATTATAATTATATTTTTTTTGTAAACGAAACTTATGTGATAATCGTCCTATCACGGAAATTCCTATTCCACACATTTTTGTTGTTCACGACATTATTAATTATTTACAATTTCATTTGTAAATGTTACCATTGAATCTAAGTTATTGTTAGTTTAATTGTTCATTCGTTAGGATTTAAAAAATTTAATACGAAATCGATTTTGTCGGAGAATCGATTCTTGAATCGAGATATCGCACGGCGGAAAGCGCTCAGGGCATCTCAGGAGCCAAATAATGATCCTAACCAAAGTAGATGTTTAATTATATTTTTTATTGCTTAAAAAGTACATATTTTATTTTTAAATTTTGTTTGAAAATTATTTTTTATCCCTTGACCCTATACGTATTTGTGTCTGGTTAGCAGAATGCAGTCATTCCTGATTTCTCTCGGTGAAGATCTTTTATTTTTTATACAATTTTTTTATTAATGTTTGTGATTATAAAAAGTTTNTAACCAAAGTAGATGTTTAATTATATTTTTTATTGCTTAAAAAGTACATATTTTATTTTTAAATTTTGTTTGAAAATTATTTTTTATCCCTTGACCCTATACGTATTTGTGTCTGGTTAGCAGAATGCAGTCATTCCTGATTTCTCTCGGTGAAGATCTTTTATTTTTTATACAATTTTTTTATTAATGTTTGTGATTATAAAAAGTTTGAAAACTATTATTATTATTATTATTATTATTTTCTCTTTAATACGATTGCAAAATATATTTTTATTGAATGGTTGAGTTTTGATTGTCGTCGGTCTAAATTTATAATTACGATGTAAGTACAAGTTTATTGTTAAATGTCCAGATGTTGAATTTTGAATAGGAAAGTTTGACACTGTCACTGCGTTTGACAGTTTGAAAGTTTGACATCTTGTGACGTGTCCGTACGCAGACCGTCTCTTAATTGTCTCGTCTTATCTTCAGCACCGGGTGGCCCCGGCAGGGCATCACACACGTACGCTCATACTATCTACTATGTAGACAACGATAAAAGTAAAATTAGTCGCAATCAATAATTTCGATTGGCTGATAGTTATTTAGAAACTGTATTTAATGTTGGAACTTGGAGTTGAACTGTACGTACAGTTGGAGGCCTGCCCGGGACGCGCGGCGCGGTCCGCCATTACTGTTCGTTGTTTGAAAACGTTTCAACTGTGAATCGATTTTTGTATCGATATTGCTAAATCGATATCTGTTGTACGTTTTTAAGCGTTTGCGTTCGATAATTGAATATGTTTCAGCTGTGAATCGATGTTTGTATCGATATTGTTAAATCGATTTCTGTTTTACGTTTTTAGCCGTTTGATATAGCTTCAGTGGTAGTTTTAAAAAAAAAATGAATAAAAAACAAAAATACTGTGATTGTTCATTCGATTCTGTCGAGGTACTCCGCGCCGGTCGCGACAATGTTGTAGACGGCGCTATCGTGCCAGACACATCGTTAAAACCAATTCTCACCATCTGCTGGGAATGATGCCCAAGGGCAACATACATTAACGAGCACAAATTCCCAAAAAAACACTGATTTGTGGACGGCCACGATGCTGTCTACGATATTCCAAAAGATAGATCATCGTCGATGGTTTTTATTTCTAAATTTGTTTGTTAATGTATCTTAATGTAAGTATTGCTGATTACCTCGACGAGTGCCATCGCGTGGGCAGAGCGTGGACGGCAAAGGGCAAAGTAAACACCTTCAGATAATCCGCGACGGGAAATGAGTTTTGAGAGGTCGCCTTGGTGTGATTTTGTTGGTGTGAATATTAATGATGTCTATAATAATATACCGATTACGTGACGCCGAAGAAAATTAAATTAAATTTAGTTCACTTCAGTACACACGGTCCATTGAAAGTGCATAATAATTCATAATAAATTATTAATTAAATTTCACATAATCTACTTAAACCGTAAGTATATTCAAGCACTTATTATGTCAGATATAATCCAATTGTTGTGTTAATTAGAAAAACGAAATTCATTTCTCGTTCTTATCTCAACGTGTCATATGCTCTTTATAGTAAGTAAAAAATACGATTTTGTTATAAAAAAAAAGAAAAGAATATTTTCAACGTTACTAAAGCCAGACACCATTCGAACTGCGATTTTATTTGAATGTTACATTTGATTTTGTTGTTTAATATAAAACTAGTTAGTGACAAGTCTTTTTCGTAAATGTAGTAATTTAGGGTAATGGTTAACGTGTGTCCGTATGTCGACGTTACGCGGCGACCGTAGTCGTGGCGNTTTTGTTATAAAAAAAAAGAAAAGAATATTTTCAACGTTACTAAAGCCAGACACCATTCGAACTGCGATTTTATTTGAATGTTACATTTGATTTTGTTGTTTAATATAAAACTAGTTAGTGACAAGTCTTTTTCGTAAATGTAGTAATTTAGGGTAATGGTTAACGTGTGTCCGTATGTCGACGTTACGCGGCGACCGTAGTCGTGGCGACGATACGGTGACGATACGGTCACGACACGGCGACGACACGGTGACGACACGGCGGTCCGTAATGGAGGCGGTCTAAAGAAGTACAAAAAGAAAAACGTCTAACCGATACCAAGAATAAATTTGTATTCGGTTTTGTGAAGTGCATGTTTGTCTCCAACGCAAGCTACGTACCGTCCGTCGCGTCGTCAGCCGCGGCGGCGCCGAGCAAGGTCGTCTGTAAAGTGTTTCCTGTCCAACGACACTTGATGCTACGTTGTTTTATTGTTAATTATCTTAATGTAATAATATTATACGAGTGTTATGTAGTTAACGCCGTGTAGAGAAGCATTCTAGTTGATAGTTTAAATGTTTCAATTCTATCTTTAAATAATAAGTAAAAGTTCTTCGTAAAAAATATTCGGGTGTTTTTTCGAAATACCTTCATGTTGTTTAATAAAAAAAAAACGTTTTTCGGTGGTTTCTTAGGTACATTGTAGTCTACGTCAATTAAATAATTAAGGAGACCAACGCGATCGCGAATTTGAACGCAATGTATCACAAAATCCAAGTCTCAAAACGCAATAATTATCTTAACGTTACATTCGTCTAGCAACACCGCACGCCCGACGTGCTGGCAACACAGGATCGCGGTCGCGCTGTCTCCGCAGGCCGTGTGGCGTGCCAGGATTTTACAAGCTCAATTTTAACGAAAAAATTAAATAAAAATCGAATAGAATACGTTTAAGTGAAAAGTCAATTAATGTCACATGTCAGATAACCGTGCGACGCGGCTTGGTCCCGCGCCCCCCTCCCTGGTCCACTACACTGTCCAAACTACGTCCCTTGCTTTATGTGCCTAGTGACTGGTATCCTATGGATACATTTAAATTGAATAACTGTCCCTCTTAGATGAACGTCAAAGTCGAATTTTGCAGAGGTTAAAGAAAAAGAGTGGAAAATGCCTTTTATTAAATCTTTGGATCTTTTATTGTACCAGTAACCGATTTGTGGCGGAGTAATGGTGTCGTCTTCTTGTAGTATCCACTCTATTCCGAGATACCTTAACACATTATTCGCGGTCTAACGTTCACGTTTGGGCTGTATCACGGTTTTTGTGAACCTGATCAATTCGTTGAATGATTAGAAACTTCAGTCACTGGAACCCGACAGAAGTGACATACCAATTTAAGTATCCTATACTAAGGCAATTGCAAAAGTCCGCGTTACTTAAGGACCTGTGATTTGGGGGGCGCGGTAGGATAGTTTCCAGTTCTTAGATTACATTTCTCGCTCTTCTCTTCTAAGTCGACTTGCCTCTTATTGTTAAACGCTGGGGAAGTTTGGAAGCTTATAATGATGATGAATGAAGCCTGTTGAGCACGATCCGAGGGGAAGTTTATCGACAGCCTCTCCGGGCTAAATCCCGACCGAGACGACACAAGCAACGCCTGGGTCCCCCTCGACTTGTTTCGCGCCAGGCTGACTATTCATCTGTCATTAGACTTCACACCTTCCTGCACGTCGCGTTGTGTGCGGCGAGCCGCCCACATTCCAGTTAGGTTTTAAGTATCGCTCTGTCTGTATTCATTTATTTAAAGACGATTTTCAGTTGTTAAGTCACCGCTATCTCTCGTCCTCCTCTAAACCACTGGCTGTCTCGCTCTAACTGACGCGCCGCACAGAACGCAACGCAGGCTAATAGTTATCGAAGGAATTCTAGTTAGTTTAAATTATATAATTCATAATAAACCAATATAATGGGTACTTATAGTGATAAGTTTTAAAGAAAATAATTACTGGAAATAATATGTTAAACGTTGTTATACTGAAGTTGTTACAATATTTGAGAGTATATTATCGTGGATTTATAATTTAGCCGGGTTACGATTAACGTGGAATGATAATAAATAGTGAAACGTCCCGAGATCCCGACCCCTAGGTGCTTTGGGCCGACGACCGCCGGTACTGACACGCACGACTGGTATTCATTGGAAATTTGCTATCAAAGAAGAATTTGACTAGCTTCGAATGAAATAAGTCACTGAATTGTATCAAAATATGTTCTGCACGTTTAAATAGCCATATTTCTAAAAAGGCATGAAGAGTTTATTAACATTTGACATAGCATACCTTTGATTAATGATTTTGAAATATTAAATTTAACGACCGGACTTGCTATTGCACACATCAAAATATACCGCCCTGCGTGTTTCTGCAGTGAGGCACCCGGGCGTTCCGGTCCTTGGTTAGCACAGGGGGACAGCACTGCACAGAGTACCGGTCACGTCCTCGGAGGTCGGTCCCGGCACGCCGTTGTTCGCTCCCGTAGTCGCACTCCGAAGCGCCACTCCACTCCGCTCCACAACTTGTATTTCGTAGTTTAAGGTAGCTAGTTCTCTTCTCCGAACGGGCCCGGGTCCCTGACGAGACTCGGACCTCGATAATATTAGTAGCTAAATGTTGTTGAATTTGTTGATAGAGTGGTTTATCGTATAGCGTTAGTCGGTATAGACGCGAAGGTGGCAGCCGCCGGGTGCGCTAGGTTAGTCTAAGGTTCGATACTGTGTTTAGGACAAATGGCTGTGCGTTCAAGTCGAACGAACATTAAGACATCCCCGCGCCGCTAGGTCGGGCGCGCATCGCACGCGACCGCCGGACGTGCTCACGTTACACATAACATTGTTTCATTTACGTTCTGTAACTTGCTCATTGTCATCAATTTATTAAGACTGAGGAATCAACTCGCGCATCGACATGGTCACGACACGCGCCCCGGGCTGTGGGGATCTTGTAATGTAATTGTTTTATCATAGGATTGTTGGAGGTCGTTAGGACGGTGCCGGCGGCGTGGTGCGAGCGCCTCGCCTCGTCTGATCTTTACACATGTTGAGATTGTATGTTATACTAATTCTATTGAATTGTAACTTGTTGCGTATTGTAAGTGGCTGCGGCCGCGGCTCTACCACTTCAATGATGGAATTATTATTTTACGTGTAATGTTGTAATTGATTTTTTTTTGTTTTGTTACTTTGTTAACTTTAGACGGGTTCGCAATGTTGGTAGGCGTGAATGTAACAGAAAATTATGTACCTATTTTCATTAAGTTTGATTTTCTAAAAATTTTAATTGATTATTTTCTTTTTAAATTCTGTACATGTTGAAAATGTTGGTCAAAAGTTTATTGTTCGCGCAGTATGTAACACTTTGAAAAAATTAACGTTTTATTTTTCAATGTTGTAAAGTTAAGAGGTAAAATGGAAAGGTTACAATGTCTTAGTGTTAAATGCTCGAAAACCATTTAAAAGGTACCTTGAACATTGTCTATATTATATTAACATTAATAAATGCAAAAACTTTAAAAATAAGTTGTTTAAATAGTTCCTCTTCCAAACTTCCTATTAACTACGTCCTCTATGGTGATCCCCCATAACAGAGGGTCTTATTCTGCTGAACATGATCTAGAATTTGATTTTAATTTGTTTCATTGCCCAGAACCATAATTTACAAACGTTTTTTTGAAGGCTAGTGTTAGGAGACTCCTCAATTCCACGAAAACCCTGTTTAACCCTGTTTAAGGTATAAAGTGGTTTAGCCGAAACAGGATTCAAGTAAATTAAAATTAATCTACCTGTAATAATTTTAATGTCTAGTATACCTAATTGAATTCAAATGACTGAATCTATGAGATTGCACCTGCCAGGTCTGTCGCGACCAGGATTTGTCTTAAACACCGGTAATCAACTATTTCTTAGTAAGAAGCTTCTCTTCATAAGTATTTGGCCGTCTGCGCAAAAGTGGCCTAATCCACAATTTTTCATATTCGTGCTTAAATATTGCTATTTATTTTAAAAAAAATAATGCTTTACCGGTCTATCCCATAGATAAAGGATGGCTGCGTAAACATAATTTTTGCCTATGAAACAGTGTGAAAGTTAAATTCAAACCGCATTATATCCATACTAACCATGGTAAGCTTAGGCCGCTCATACCCGGTGGACCGAATGGTAAACAGTCGACGTCACCCTAAACACGTCATTGCGAATCCTCCCGATCCATTAACGGTGATTTTAGGTACCTCAAGCACCGGTCTCGTTCTCGGCGAACCCGTCGCTTGCAACTAAGGGCTCGACGAGTAAATTAACCCATAGACACAGCCCACTGAGTGTCTCGCCGGATCTTCTCAGTGGGTCACGTTTCCGATCCGGTGGTAGATTCTGCGAAGCACTGCTCTTGCTAGGGCCAGTGTTAGCAACACTTCCGGTTTGAGCCCCGTGAGCTCACCTACTAGTTCGCTGAATCTAGCATAACCCCTCGAGGTTACTAGATTAGGAAGGAAAAAAAAATAGGCCGCTTTTGCGCTGACGGCCTCATGTAAATATGTGCGGTAGGTATTGAAATTTCTTACAACTCTATCAATTAGATGTAATTTATATTAAGAAAGGATTACGATTGCAAGTTTTGCCGCAAAACAAACGTTGGACATTGTCGAATAAAACTTCAGTTTAGTATGTATTGCATCTATTTATTTTTAAAATACAACACAAAGATTTGAAGAAGATTCATATAAAAATATAAAATGGACGGATATTAATACTTTTAAATAAAAAATAAATTTAAATAAAAATGATTTAGGTACACTGAGAGATTAATGTCATGATCATTCCGATTTCATACCATTTAAAGATTCCTTGAAACTTGAACCCTTAATTTATTGGCAACGTTTTTATTAAGTATCACAGAATGAACTGGTTATTATATACTCGTAGTAAAACATTAAAATAATACTAAAAATTAACTGCTTTATACAGTTTTTGAAGTCAGAAAATTATATCTACATTATTAATATGAATGGATAGTTACATCTAGATAAGAGCCTAGTAGTGAGTAAATTATAGTCTACTATTACAAAATCAATGTTTAGAAAAGAAAAAAAATTACATAACGAATTTTAATACATATAAGCTTCGATTAACAATAGTAACCATATCAGTCCATTGTTATTTTAGATACACAAAGTATAATACCTAAAAATATATGTTTTCACAAAAAATGTGGTACTTAAATATTGTATTTTATAAGAAATTATATCCTTTCATCAACCATTATTTATGAAGTATTGCTACAAAGCTTAATTTCATATTTAATTTTATTGTTACATGCATGTAGCTCAAAACAGATATTAGCAATAGTCAACGTCTTTTGGAGGCTCTAGAGGGCTATTAATTGATTTTAAACATTTTCTGAAAACAAATCCAATTCAAATATACCTATGTAGTTCAATATAATCTTCTTTGCCTCCACTCTTCGTATTATATAACCTAAAGTTAATTAAAAAAAATACATTTATCTTGTACATTTCACACTTTAATATGTCTACCTAATTAATACTTTTGTATGTTTACGTAGTCATACCAGAATAGTGAGATAAATGTCTTTTGTCTATTTAAATGCAAAGTGCAAGTCTTTTTCTTATCAATTATATTAAAGCAAACTATATAGAGTTAACACATACTTGCCCTTCAGCTTTATTTTCTCCATCTAAAATCTCAAATATATACAAAAAAAAATTAATTATGATAACTTGGAATCTATAAATTTTGAGTCATATGAATCACCTAAGTTATAAATGTGAATTGCATAGTTAATACAAAAGTTTCTTATAAAAAATTTAATGCAAAGCACCTACTAAAATATTGTAATTCAAAATTATTTTTAATCTGTAAATTATCTTGAAACACATTTTAATGAAACGCAGCTTTCTGAGATTCTAACATTAAGACTCTTTGGATAAATATATGACTAATTATTATACTTACAATTCTAATTAATATTTTGGTTAAGAAATTACTTCATACTGGGGAATATGTGGTTCAAACTCAAAACCATTATAATGAGTAAAGCTTAAATTCCTAGTCCCTGGAGCTTCAGAAAAAGGTGTCAGTTCAATAACTAGAGATGAGAAGGTGGGTCTCTCATCGGGATCAACCTGCCAGCACTGAAGACACACTTGGAACAACTCATCTCCAACATACGAAGGCTGTGAGGGCCTCATTCCTCTTAATATCCTACTGCCTACATCTTTATTCCCTGAATGAGAATATGGAGTTGCTCCCAGCGTAAGGACTTCCCACATCAAAACTCCAAAAGACCAAACATCTGCCTTTGGATTATATCTAGTTTGTCTTAACATTTCATGAGAAGTCCATCTTGTATAATCAGGAGTCTCATGTAAAGATCTTAAGTGTGACAAGCCAAAACCAGCTATTTTGACAGTTCCATTTTCACTTATGATCATGTTTCTGCAACAAAGTTTCTTATGGACAATTTTCCTTGTGTGAAGATACTCCATTCCTCGGGCAACTTGCACACAAATCTGTAATACCTTATTCTCTGTTATCGAGCAAAATTTATTATTCTGAATGTCCCTTTGTCTACTTAACAGCAACATCTCTTTCAAAGTTTTCTTAATGTCTTCCAAAACTACAAGCAACGTGGTATTAGTCTCACAGATGCCTATTAATGAGATAACATTTTCGTGTTCACTGGTTTTTATCAACAGATCTAATTCTTGTAGCATCTGCTTCTTCTCTGTTTTTTCAAGTTCTCTATCAGCTATGACCTGAACCAAGCCAACAGTCTGCACTCCACCTTGTTGCACTTTTCCTTTAGTGAATTTACCATATGTCCCAACACCAACAACACATGATATGTCTGTTTCAATTAAATTCCGTGGAATATTCCAAAGTTTACGTTTTAAATTTCCATAGTAGTCTACTCTTTCTTCATCCTCAAGAATAAATCCGGAGTTTTCTATTTCAACACAAGGTTCACTTAAACTTAACGGCATTGATTGAGATCCCCTTTGCATTCGTACAAACTGTATTCTGCGACGTAAAATTATAATCAGTCCTATGCCAATCAGCAGTAGTACTACTCCAATGGCAATACCAGCTCCCAGTGCTACTACCATCGGAGATACTTCCTCAGGTTCATTAATATTCAAAATAATCTTTTTGGTTGACTCAGCATATCTAACTTTTCTGACATGGTTCTTTTCACTCACTACTCCTAAAGACACATCAATGTCATTTGTTAATGGCAATGGCGCATTGTAAAAACCATTGTATGTACTCCTGTCTCCAATGATGAAATCAGTCTTTATATCATCAGGATCCAATTCAGCAGTGATGTAGTAAGGTAGACCTTGTTCAGTTGCATATGTATGGTTACTGAGAGTATCCACTATGAAGCCTTGTTGATACAACTCTATAGAAATGACTATTCTGTACATAGAAACTGGCCCATTCACATTCTTAGCTTTGGGAATATGTACAACCATTCTGTCACCTCGTCTTTGAATTATCTGTACATCAGGCGGACTAGGGTCTGGTGTTCCAATTACTGTCTCAGTAACCATGGTAATATTTGGACCTTCTTCGTCATAATTCAAGGCTGCAACACTGATGTTGTACTTGGACCCAGGATGCAGGTTTAAGAGTTCCATATTTAAAGTTTCATTGGACACTCTCCATTCCAATGGCTTNACCATTCTGTCACCTCGTCTTTGAATTATCTGTACATCAGGCGGACTAGGGTCTGGTGTTCCAATTACTGTCTCAGTAACCATGGTAATATTTGGACCTTCTTCGTCATAATTCAAGGCTGCAACACTGATGTTGTACTTGGACCCAGGATGCAGGTTTAAGAGTTCCATATTTAAAGTTTCATTGGACACTCTCCATTCCAATGGCTTCAGATTGTAATCAGAATAAGTTTCAATAACAGCTGCTCGAATAACATATGAAGTTATGAAGGAGTATGCATCAGGAGCAGACCAACGCAGTCTCACTGTAGTCTCTGTGGCGTTAAATAGGACCAGATTGCTTGGCTGACCTGGAGCGACTACATCCGTATCATATACACTAGTAGCATTGTTACCGCCGCATTTTTGAGTTTCGTTCTTAGGACATACCGTGTGACAGGAGTCTAAGGGCAGTTTGAACTTTCCCGGTGAATTGCCGCAGAAACAAGTAGATTCATTGCCTATTAAAGCATATTTGTAATGTACCTGTTCACAAGCATTGAGACATGCGTCCACGGATTGACCTGTGTGCGTATTTAATACTTCTTCGGCTTTTAGCACATAGCAGCCAATGTAATCTCCACGTTCACACAAACATGCAGCAAAACACAACAATATGATCACAAATATTCTCTGAAACCACTTCTCCATTGTTTCCAGGCCGCAATTTCTAATCATAACCATTAATTTATTGTAATGTCAAGCCATGGCAGATAGAGCCGTTTTATATTTATTAATATATTTGCAATTAGGAAAACGATGACGCACAAAGTGAATACCTAACAACGGTTTTGATTTAACTGTAGCTTACTTCAATGGTCTTTCGCTCTTTGCTTTTTTTTTAATGGATTTTATGACCTGGTAACTAATACCTTTAGGTCAAGTCTTATTTTAATTTTAATGATAGGTACGTAACTTGTTTATATGAAAATGATATTATGAAATGAAATGAAGTTGATTATTATGAAACATGGCATGAAGTGAAATGAAAACGAAATGAAATGACATGAGATGAGATGATACGGGATGAAGTATAATCACAGTAAAATGGCGGTCATTTACTGAGACTTTTTCAGTGGACTTTTTGGAAGATCCCGAGAAGTTACGTTCAATGGCTTTGTTTCATTTTCCCACATTTGTGCACTTTCACAGATACTAAACAGTTAATAAAGCACCGTTATTACACATTTAAATCCGAAGAAACACTAACTAGACAAAATAAAACAAATCACACAACTTGACTCCTCGCGTTCCCGCCAAAAAGTCTTTCCTTCTTTGCTTTTTTAAGGAATTTTTTGACCTGGTAACTAAGACTTTTAAGTCATGTCTTATTTTAATTTTTATTTTTATGAAAAATGATATTATGGAGTGAAATGAAGTGAAGATGATTAATTTGAGATATTAATCAACTGGAATGAAATTAAATGAAATGAAATGAGATGATACGGGATGAAATATAATCTCAGTAAAATGGTGGTCATTTACTAAGATTTTTTCAGTGGACTTTTTTGAGGATCCCGAGAAGTTACGTCCAGCGGCTTTATTTCATTTTCCCACATTTGTGCACTATCACAGAATTAAACAGTTAATAAACCACCATTATTACACATTTAAACCCGAAGAAACACTAAATAGACAAAATAAAACAAATCACACAACTTCACTCCTCGCGTTCCCGCCAAAATGTCTTTCGTTTTTTGCTGTCGGTCGGTGTCACAGATTAATAAATTAGTTATGATCATAGGTTATACAATTAATGTTATGGTCGATGTCGAATTCTAGCCTCTAAGGTAGGTACCCACCTAAACTTCAATACCTATTACCTAAATTTATCATACTTGGCATGTGCCAATTACTTATTACCTCCATGGTCAATAATGCGTAGGCATCGGCTCAGTGAATTTGGCTCCCTCTTTTTTTGATTTTCGGATATTTGTTATTTTTAATTATTTGCTCGTCGTTTGTTCGTTAATGTTCGAATGTAAAGATTGTTTGTTCGTCTTTTATTTATTTATAATTAATTAAACAAATGATCACCCTTAAGTTGGCTCCTCTTACTAGATATCTTTATTTTTATCGCTTAGATTATTTAATTTTGATCAATTGTCGTTTGTTCGATGACTATTGCTGATTGTTCGATCATAAAAACAATTAAATTCCCAATTATTAATTATTTTATATCTAATAAGCAAACCATCACCTCACGCCTACATTGCGCATACACCGGTTTTGTCGGTCAGCTGGCAATGGCCGTATTTACTAGCATTTTGTTAACAAGTGCATTTATACTGTCTAATTATTAAATTAATTAATAAAAAATCTATATTACTTGAATAGCAATGTGAAAATAATAAAGATAGATCACACAATTATAAAGTTTATATTTAAAAAAAAAGTTTGAAGTTTATATTTAAAAAAAATACTAGCTTAAAATTTTCATTCAATTTTAATATGAAAAATGAGATGAAGTTGATTAATTTGAGACTTAAATCAATTGGGACGAAATAAAATTAAGCGAGATGAGAGAAAAATAATGGCTTTCACTTTTCACTGAACATTTTAAAAGAACCCGATATATTACGTTCAGCGGTTTTATTTCACTGTCGCACATTTGTGCAGTTTCATAAATGCTAAACAGGTAATCTATCTATCTTTCAACCCACGTCCACTGCTCCCAAGCCACGCCACAACTACCGATTACGCGCTGCCTGCATCCAATGGATCCCCGTGAACCTTAGTAGGACGTCAATAAACCACCGTTATTTAACACTGAATCCTGAAGAAATATTAAATTAACAAAATTATGCAATTCACACATTTTTGCAAAGGTTGAAGTCTTGTTTGTTGTATGAAAAATGAAATATTTTAAGGAAGGTAGTGAAATGGATGTGAATATTAATTGAAATTTAATAAAAAAGATATTCAACTATTTAATGTAAGATGAGACAATACTGAAAAGACATGTCTACGTAAAAGGAAATTACCTATCAGTGAACTTGTGGAAATTTAATAAAAGTTTAATGGTCTTTTTGGAAAAATCCAACTTAATTTGTTTCATTTTACCTGTACAATTTTCTAAACATACTATAGTCATTATTAAAAAACTTTACAGCGAACCGAAATTCTTAACACTTTTATCAGATTAAAGCAAATGGTTAAAGTAGACTTGAGATAGACCATTAAAAATCGAAATTTATTCAATTATTATTAGTGAACGTTGTAATCAGAAGATTGAAGATTGAATTTTGTACTGGTGGTACAAATTGAAATTTTGTACTGGTGGTAGGACCTCTTGTGAGTCCGCGCAGGTAGGTACCACCACCGTGCCTATTTCAGCCGTGAAGCAGTAATGCGTTTCGGTTTGAAAGGTGGGGCAGCCGTTATTATTATTTTTATTTATTATTTTATTTATTTATTACAAAAACATACAATTTTAATCATAATAACAAATATTGAAACGATGTTATCTGCTGTAGTCATAGACTGTGTTGCAGATAACAACGCCAACCCCTACACACAACGAACAATAACATATAAATTTAAATATTTCATAAACACATTATAATAATTAATTTTAAATACAATTATCAAATCAATACAAT